CGCTCCCTGCAGCGGCCCCAAATATCACGTTTTAGGCCCCCCGGCGGGTAGCCCCTGGGCGGGCGGGCCAGCGGCGCGGCCCTTACCTCGGGAAGGCCGTACTTCTCCCGCAGGCGGCTCCTCAGGGCTGCCCGCTCGGCTTTCCTCTCGGCGTAGAGCTCCTCCCGTCGGTGCCTGAACCAGGCAGAACGTCCCCCGAGGGGCGTCCCTTGAGGTTTGCTTTGGGCTAGAAGGTATCAAGGGCTCTACCAAGGCATGGGAACCCGGGGAGTTGACAGGGTCCTGACTCCATGGCTCAGCTATCATGCGCGCTTCCTCCTTAAGTTCACCGCTAACGCTACCGTCTGTGCTTACTCTATAGGCATCACACGCACAAATAAAGACAAGTAAACTACCCAAAGATGGCTCAGACAGGTCGATTATGAAAGCAATTCCCTCCTGCACGTACGTACGAGGGCCCTTGTTTGATGGTTCGGCTAGACTTTCAGATTTTACTGAGGTAGACGCAGGGGCACTTACTTCTCTTCCTGACTTCTCTGGTCATGGTGCTGTTTCCCCGGACCTTTCCTGTGACCTCCCAGGAATGGGCAGTCCTTATCCTCGGGGACATCCACAGAGAGGCAGCAGAGCAGCTGTTTCACTGGGGCCCCAAAAAATGACTTTAATGTAGACTCCATGGACGTAAAAATTGTGGAAGCTGTGTTAGTAGAGGGACTGGAACAGAAAAGGCAGTGACAAAAACAGCTGTGGTAGTGAAATACTACCTCCCACTACCACCTAAAGGCCACCAAGCATCTGATATGCCCTGTGCAGTTGCAGAGATTTCTCTGTCCCTGGTCAGGGAGGAATTCACGGCACGACAAGCAGCCTGGGGAATTTTTTATGTCTCTTGGCCCAGTTATTTATAGGGATCCCTGCTTTAGCCAATTCTTCCAACTACCAGCTGCATGTGGATAGCACACTGACATCCCCTGCCAAAAGGGAATTCCTCAGCATCCTGAGAACCACGATAGCGGGCACAACAGTTTTGTCTCGACCTGCTTATCTAGTTCCCAGTCCCAGCTCCCAGCACTTAGCAGCAACTGCACCTCTCTTGGCTAAAAACATTCTTTAGCCCTAAATAGGGGAGACTTACAAAGTCACACGCACCCTAATTTACTAGCTGCCACTTCAGATGAGCCAGGTGGCACCTTCAATGGTGCTCTCTGCTGGGTATCGGAAAGCTGGAAATTCAGATTTTGGATGCCAGATTTTCACTTTGCTTTCTAAAGTCCAAGAGACAGGCTGCAGATAACTTATCTGCTCAATCTAATTCTCATCTAGACTCACCTGGAGGTTGAGCACACACAGCAGCACCTGCTCTTTCCTATGTTCTCGGTCCCGGGCACACACCACCTTCCTCCGAGCTGCGCGGCAGGCTGCTGTCTGACCGAGCAATACTGCAGAAGGCAGATTAAAGCTCCCAGCCTAAGCTCTTTAGGTTGGGATCATAAGCACATGAAAATGACTCAATGTCACCCCATCCAAGTCTCACCCCCCACTAACTCCAGGTGAAGCCGGTCTTTTCCTTTATCCCTCTGAGTGATGACGGTCTGCCACAGCCGGATGGTGCAGCAGCGAAGCGATAAGCTCCTATAGAACAGGCTCTGCGTTATGTCTGCTGTGTTACTGACACCAGCCCCAAGGAGACTCGTCCAGACGGGCATCGGCAGAGCATCAGCACAAAGCTTCCATTAAGTCTGCAACTTCCTCAGCAGTTCAAATGGGACAGAGTCCAACGCCAGGCCACAGCCTCGGCTCTGCAGCTGGAGAGAGCCAAAAGGTACGGACAGACATTTCAGGGCTGGGGATGGAGGAGCCTGTTTGACAGCTGACTACAGCAGTTAGTCACAGTTGATGCAGGCACCTGGCCATCAAGTTTTCCAACAGCCACTGAGAGTCGTCAATGCTCCACCCCTACAGGGAGTGAGAAGTCCCCAGCGTTCTCCCTTTTCTAGAAGCTGGGCACATTACATATTTAGTATCTTCCCACCAATGACTATTAATCGTAGGGCATGCTACCTCACACAGCAAAATCTGCTTGCCCTGGACTTAGCTCGGATCCAGCTGCAGCCCTCAGGGCAGAGGGCAGCTCCTACGAGGTGCGTGCTCAGGCACCAGGCCAGCACCCAGGCTCGGAGAGAGCCGTGCAGGTGGATAGAGCAGGTTTTGTTACTGAGGTTCACTGGACCTTGAAGCAGCAGCTTCCTTCCTGCAGCAAGCAGGTGCATGTCAGACGTAAAACCAACCAGCAGACTGTATTTGTCCGCGGGTACAACACTGGAGCTGACTCCCCTTTTCCTAGGGAACTGATAAACAGCTGGGTGTACTGCTCCATGACCCTGATGTCCTCAAGCCCACAGCTGGCCTAGGGCAGAACAGCCCCAAGTCCAGTGCGCTGAGGAGGGTAAGACAGCCTTCTCCTGGTCCAACCACAGACCAGAAGGTTTATTCACTTCATATTTATTTTTCACAAAGACTGTACAAAATTCTTATAAAACTCTGGTGTGGGGATGGGCTATGACATTGATCCAAAAAATAATTCCCATGCAGTCCCACCAGTTTCATAACTTACAAGGAAACAGATAAGCTACAGAGAGCTGAGAGTCCTGGAGTATTTACACCGAGGAGGGCAGGAGAGAACAAGAGACAAAGCAACACATGAACAGAGGTATTTACAATATGGACATAGAGGCCCCCTCGCCTTGGGATAATGGCAGCAGCAACAGCAGGAGGTTGGGCCTATGGTGCTCAGAGGCTGATATAGAATATGGGCTATTTACAGTATCTCACATATTAACAGCTTTACAAACATGTCCAGGGAGTTCTTTTATGTATAAAAAAAAAAAAGCACCAAGTGTCTGAATAGAAATCACACAGGCCTCCACGGGGGCTAGAATCTGAGGGCAGGCTGGCACCTGTGGCGTCACCGGCTGATGTCTCGGCTAGAGTCCCACATTTTTGTGCTTGGTTCCATTTCCAGCATGTCAAAGAACGGGTGCTTGAGGGCCTCGGCCAGGGTGATGCGCTTGGACGGCTCATACTCCAGCATGCTCTCAATGAGGTCGAAGAGGCGGTGATGATCCTCAGCCTCAGAAGTCAGGTATCTCTGGGGAGATGGAGGGGAGAGGTCAGGGCAAAGGACACCGGGCCCTGCCCTGGCCACAGTACATTCCCTGTGGTGAACGGTTAAGCTAGGGGAAGAGTAGTTTGCTTAGACCCTCACTGGTCCTACACCTGAACGGCAGGGCACTTTAACAAGTGTGGAACTACCAAGTTTTCACACACACACACACCCTCCTGCCCAAGCACTTCCTCAAGTCTCCTCATCCCCTTCAGATTAAGCTCAGCCTGCTGCCGTCTTCCCAGTTTACATCTGGGACAACCAAGACTCCTAGAAGATACTGGTCTGAGCCTTTCAGTGGCCCAAGCTTGCCCATGTGCAAAATCGTCAAGAACTGGGGCAGGCACTGAAAGATTCCGCAATGAGAAAAGGATAAACCAACCGGGTGCTCCTGCCCACCCCACCTTACCCGTAGCGGCTTGCAGTTTTCCCTGACATAGCGGCCAGCAGAGGTATTCTCATCCCAGTCCAGGCGGCCGTGGTAGAAATATTTCTGTTTCCTGTCAAAAGAAGAGGTGGCAACAGGTTACAGCAGAAAGGACCAAGCACAAGGCAGCTTGCAGCAACAGCAGCACGCCAGCCCTAGCACCACTCTGCAGGGGCTCCAGGACACTGCAATAACATGGGTGACTGACTCCAGAGGCAGCTTCAAAGCTCGATTCCTCAAAGGAAACCACTACATGTGAAGCAGAAAAGAGCCGGTAAGCCTGCAGCACCCAGCCAGCCTTGCTCACCTGGTCTTCCGGATCATTCGAGAAGGAATTGGCCCCAAGATCCTCTCCATCATGGCCAGGTGCTCCCGGTTGTCATGTGTCTGAGGGAAATAAATGTAAAGGAGGGGCATGGAACAGGTTTCAGTAGTTTTACCTCCAGTCTCAGGTATTCCCCCATTTCAGAATCCCTTGCTGGTCAACACACCTCGGGCGTTACTACCAAACTGCAGCGATGGAGGGAACTCCACGAGTCCCAGGGGCTCCTGGCTGTACTGGGAGACAGCCAGGATCCCTTTTCCATCAGCTGTGAGGTGGCCATACAGCATATGGTTCTCACCTGAAACAGGGTGAAACCCACATAGTACTCAAAGATGATGCAGCCAATGCTCCACACATCACAGGGCTGGCTCCAGCCAAGCTCTAAAAGACAAAGGGTTTTTAAAGAAAAGATCAGTTATGGCCCAAGATTCCAGATTCCTCTCCCTCCCTCTTGTAAAAAACAAACAAGCAGCTGAAAAAAAGAATTCCCATTCCAGCCAGGCTCATGATACTCTGGGGGCAGCATACAGCCCAGCCGCTGCTGATGCCAAGACACTGAGTTATAAGTTGTTAGCACTCCCAGAAAATAGCACTGTAGAGCACGTTCGAGGTAAAGCACTTCTCGTCTCCCAAGGTAAGCCCAGGACACCTACTGAATGACGTGGGGCAAACGCTTCTTAACCCAGCAGGCTGTGCCCGATGCCCTCAAGGCAAATGCCTGCCTCTACAGGCAGGCCGAGCCTGTGGTACCTACCCAGTATGACTTCTGGGGCCCGGTAATGCCTGGTAGAGACAATCGTGCTGTGATGCTCATGATCAAATGTGGCACTGCCAAAGTCCACCACTCTGATAGCTGTGCTCTTCACACTCCGCTCATCTCGCTTCTTTGAGAGGGAAGGTGATATCAGTTACTGAAGAGTTTCACAGTGTGGGCTTAGCCTGTTATACAGCTGAGGCTTCACCACAAGGGGACCACAGGAGTGGTCTGCTTTGGAGGGCATCTTTAGGGCTGGCACCCACTCTCCAATACGCAGCACAGTCCCCAAAGACGCTCGCACCATCACCCGTATAAGCCTGAGGTCTCTATGGCTTATTTATAGTATATGCAGGCGGTTCACACAAGATGTAGATCCTGAACCAACGCGTGAACGTTGTCAGGCCAACCCTGTGTCTCCTGGGGCCACGTTCTAACTTCTCCCATCTGCCGATAAGGTCAGGGACGCCAAACAACCCAAGAGGAGACTTCAAAAGCAAGACAGTGCTGTTACCTTTTCCAGGTTATAGGTGAGTTCGTAGTCCGAGTTCACAAAGAGGATGTTCTCAGGTTTGAGGTCAGTGTGAGTGAGTTTATTGTCATGCAGAACTGAGGAAGCAAAAAGAGTCGGGGTCAATGAACACAAGCAAAGCTAGGCTGCATACACCCGATGAGTGAACAGCACTCCTTCAGATTGCTCATACTGGCACCAGTTTAAGCCCACATTCAGAGCTGGGTGTAAACGGGTCAGGCTAGTCCAGGCCAAGATGCTTGGACAGAAACACAAATGCTTATCATATTGATTGCCAGAACGTACAGCGGGGTGGAAGCTGGAGAGCCCTGATCTACTGCCAGCCCGCATGCATTAGAAACAGTACAATCAGGTAAAGAAAAAGGATTCACTCCAAGCAGGCTTCCCCACCAGACCGGCAGGAAGGCCCAGTCTCAGAATCTGCACAGCAGCGCCCCAGCAAAAACTCGCTGCTTTGGGCCATCGGCCGCAGAACTGGTATGGAAGTCGGGAGCCGCACAGATCTCCAGGTCGGTCAAGGAACAGAGGAGAGAAGAGCAGTGGACACTTACACTTCACAGCCTGGCACACCTGGTAGGCCATGTGCCGTACTTGGTGGATGGGGTAAGGCAGATAGTTGTTGTCCTTCAGGAAATCAAAGGTGCTAAGCCCCAGCAGTTCAAAGGAGATGCACATGTGGCCATGGTAGTCAAACCAGTCAAACATCCTGACACAAAGGCTGAGAGACAAATTCTGATTAGGGACAGATCTGCATGCACCACTCACAGCACTCATCCCTGCACCAGGCTCGGTCTTGCTCAGTTCGCATCCCGCAGCAAGCCAACATGCCTCAAAAAACAGCCGCAGACAAATTCAGTCATGCAACATGAAGTACCTCTCTCCTCCTATCCTTGTGACTGTGCTAAAATAGTGCTTTCCCCTCCATTTTGCCACAAAGAGCGTACTCACTTCTTGTTCTCAGGATCCTTCTCGTTAATTTTCTCCAACACGTTGATTTCCAGTCGGGCAGCCTCTTTGTACTTCTCCACGTTTTTAATGATTTTCAGGGCAACACGTGCACCACCCCTGAAGAAGCAGGAAGAAAGCGCGAGATCACTTCTGAGTCAGGTCAGAGAAACTCTGCCCCGCAAAAAGGTCTTTCTGAACCAGCCTCGTCCTGTGGGGATCTGTGCAGCCCAGCCTTCTACCGTCATTGCTCAAGCCAGGAGAGGGCCTTTAATAAAGGCGTGAACAATGTTCACCAGGACTGCTTTTTACCTCACTACAAACAGCCCTGAGATTCCCCCCAGTCCCTCTCCCATACGCTCTCTATGGGCGACCCAATAGGATGGGTGCCCAGACCAGCAGGGGAGTCCTGGGAACAGAGAGACTCATTTCCACCCCCACGATCCCACGTTAAACAGGAAAATCTGCTTCACCCGCTGCGTTCTTTTTCCTTCCCCACCATGTCCCTCCCTGCCCCAGTGCCAGACCTACAAGCAGGCGTACCTCCGGTGATCTATGCA